TTTTTTTTTTTTTAACTCAAGGCTGGCACTCTACCACTTGAACTACAACTCCACCTCCAGCTCTTTGGTGGTTAATTGGAGATAAGTGCCTCATGGACTTTTGTGCCTGGGCTGGCTTTGAACCTCAACCCTCAGATCTCAGCTCCCTGAGTAGCTAGGATTACAGTTGTAACCTGGTGGTGTCTCTCCTGCCAGCCACAGAAATCTGGAACTTTGGTAAGGTGCTGGATGAACTGTTGCAGGAAAGCTATAAGGGTGCCCAAAAGACTTTTTCATGGCCCTGGACAACACTAGTAGGTGGAGATGTACACTTGGGACTGCTGCCGGTGGTTGGGCAGAGAAGGATGTTCTCATGAGTACTGGATTTCATCTGGAGATGGTGGCAGTTTACCGCTGCCCTAGCTCTGAAGTAAGACCAACCCAGTAAGAGACATGCTCTTCTCCCACACTCCTCCACGGGCATGTAAGTCATAGTGGAGGAGTTTGGGTCTGACCAGCTGTAGTGGGGGGTTTGAATGACCCTGGGGTGGGCGTGCAAGGAGACTTGGTTGGGAAGAGGTCATCTTAGCACACATCTGTGGTAGGGTCATTAGTACACAGAGATGGCAGAGGGCAGAGTGGTGGCCTTGAGGAGGAATGCAGGAGCAGTGTCCCCCTTGACACTCAGGCCAGCCCATCTGTGCTTTCAGACTGGCCGAGGTGATCAGGAAGCAGTTGCTTCCAGACCTTCAGTTGGGCTACTGGAACCTGGCTTTCCCACCCATGGTGTCCTCTTGCCATGGTTTGTTGTTGTTGTTTGGTTGCTTTGGTTTTTGGTGCATGCGTGTGTTAATGTGTGTGTGCCACTCCTGGAACTTGAACTCAGGGCCTGGGCACTGTCCCTGAGCTTTTTCTTTTCCTCCTCAAGGCTAGGGCTCTACGCTTTTTGGTGGATAATTGGAGATAGGAGTATCATGGAACCCAGTGCCAGTGGCTCACACCTATAATCCTAGCTACTCGATGCCCTGTTTGGACAGGTGGTAGCTTCCAGTGGTGTTTGTAGGGATTGTCTGTCATTGCTTGTCCTGACAGAGCCCCAGCAGCAGGCCCTTTAAAAGCTGGGCTGTCCTGAGTGGGTGCTGCTTCCTCTGCTTGCTCTGAGTGCACCCATCTTTCGTGCCCCGCATGTTGGCCGTCATTCTGTGGCACGTGACACCAGCTGCTCTGTCAGTTGCCTTGTCTTGCTGTCTAGCTCTGTGTTGCTCACCAGTCCATCTCTGCTAGCCTGGTGTGGTACTCAGTGAACGGAGGTGGAGGAGCAGATTTTAGGGTTTCGGTCTTAGTGTTGGTAGTGTGGCTGTAGACTTCAGTGTGTTGTGTTTTAAGACCAAGCAGGAGGCCCAGAGGTCCCTCAGATCCTAGCAGTGGTCAGTGTCCCCTGCCCTGGAAGTGGGGGCGGGGCCTCCCTGGGCCCCTCCCAGGAGTCAGGCTCCCCTGTGAGGCTGAGCGCTCCCTGCCCCTGAAGGAGCCCAGCCCGTCTAATGTCTCTTATCTGGCAGGCCCCTGGGGAAGGCGAGGCACGTCTCCAGGACTTGGAGCCTCCCCAGGGCAGTGACCAAGCCCTGTTGGTATCCTTTCAGGATGGCACAGCACATTCCCTCAGTACTCTTTGGACTGAGGAACTCGAGTGGTTGCCCACTCCAGAACGTATCCCTGTCTGTGCCAACGACAAGCTGTTGTAGAATTCAATGCCTGGGTTCGGGGCTGGTGGGTCGCCAGAGGCACATGTGTGTGTGTCCTCAGTCCGGCTGGCGGAGGGCTGGACGCGTTGCAGCTGCCGCTGGCCTTCTGTAAGGCGCCACCCACCCTGGCTTCCTCACATCCCAGAGGCCAGCAGCAGGCCCACAGGAGCTGGAAGAGTGGCTTCCACGCCCACCCAGGGGACCCCAGTCTACCTCGGAAGACAGCCAGCGGGGGGACATGGCCTGGGCCGGTGCCAGAGCAGGAGAGCACATTCCCTACTGTGTCGCCATCTCAACCTTGTCCTCAGCCACGGCTGTCCAGCCCGCCTTGGGGACTGTGTGGCCAGCTGTTAAGTGGGGCCTGTCCATCTACTAGTCTGATTTGTGAGGCCTGGAAGGGGACAGGCTGGTGTGGGGACTGGAGATGCCAGTCATTTGCCTGTTGCAGGTGGCTCCTTTGGGGCCATGCTGAAGGACACGACTGCTGGCATGGTGACCCAGCCTGGCCAGAGTGGGCTGCGGGTGCTCTTGCCCTCACGGAACTCAGAACTCCCTACCCCCACCCCTGGCAGAAGGCCTAGGAGGGGGGACTGTCCCCCACCTTCCGCTTCCAGGCAAGGCGCTTCTAGAGGCCCAGAGCCATTATTTCCTTAGCAACGGAGCTGGAGAACGGAAATGTTAGCTGTCTAGCACAGGAGGGGCCGTGCGCACCTGACCATTGGTCCCTCAGGGCAGACACGGGCCTTGCCTTTCACACAGACCAGGGCTGAGGGGACAGGTCCCACGGCCTGCCTGGTTCCAGCCTTGAGGATTTCCCTCTCCCTTGTACAATTACAAAGAGGACTATAAAGAGATACAAATTAACAAAGAGTAGCTGCTTAATTGCTGCAGGAATGCCAACTGTGGGCCACACAGCAGAGCAGGTTTCTAAGCCGGAGCAGCCTAGCTGCTTCATTGCTGGAGGAGTGAAGCTGCTGCTGGGTGCCGGCTGCACCAGGCTCAGTACTCCCCTGCATTCTCTTGTTGAGTCCCAACAAGAGACAGAGACAGGAGCTCTCTGGGCCCCACTTTGATAAGTGGGGTGATGAAAGGAAGCCCCAGAAATGGGGCAACCCTCTCTGGAGGCCACGTCCATGAGCACAGGGCCCCTCTGAGCCGTGTGCTGCCTTCAGGACGTGGTGGTCACTTGTCAGTGCTTGAGGCTGGAGTCCTGCTTCACTCCCCAGCACCCCCCCCACACACACACACACGTACCAGCCAGGGCAGCGCAGAGCCGGCCCTTTCCAGCTCTGTGTCTTACATGCTTGCATCCTGCAGCATACAGAACCAGTGGGTGCTGGGGTGCTCCCCTTACAGAGAGGCACCCAGGCTGAGCCCATGAGAGCTTCAGGGCATGTCTGCAAGTCAGCATAGAGTCAGTGCCTGAGATCTGAAGATCTCAGTTCAGAACCAGCCCAGTAGACAAATAAAAAAAACCCACAAGTGGAGCTGTGGCTCAAGTGGTAGAGCACCACCCTTGAGTAAAAAAAAATCTCAGGAACAGTGCCCAGGCCCTGAGTTCAGGTTCTAGGATCAACACACATGCACGCATATGCGCACGCACACACAGGCATGTGCCTAAGGGCATGCTGTCTGAGCCACAGGCCCATCTGTGTATGGTTGTCACTGTCCACGCTCGAGTCCTCCACAGCTGGAGGGGCTTTGGGGAAGAAGGTGTAGGAGTGGCAAGGTCAAGCCCCAGAGCTCTGCAGCTGCTGCTCTTCTGTCTGTATGGTTTCTAGGGACTGTTTGTGTAGGGACTGTTGCCTCCCCGCTCCCATACCCCACAGCCAATGGGGTAGATGGAGGAGACCCGGAGCACAGATCCCCCAGTGTCTGGGTGAGGATTACCCAGAAGCCTCCACCTGCCACCACACATGTGGCCAGTAAGCCCCATGTGAGCATGTCTTCATCCCCTCACCAGGAAGGCGTGGCGCTGGCCACCCAGCTGTCACTCGTCCCTGCCACTGGGCTTCTCGGGCTCTTTCACTCTGGAAACTCCCTGGAGAACGTCATTTCTGCAGCCGGAGGGGGAGGGGGACCGTCCTGAGCTCAGGCCCTGTTCCCATCCCCCCCATGTCTGGCCCAGGACCTGAGGACCTGGGCAGTGGGGGTGGGGGAGTCCCCCTACATGGATACCCTGGGGCTTCCAGAGCCGTGAGCCTCCAGCCGCCCCCTGGGGCCTCGACAGCAGCGCCCAGCCCAGCTTCCCCTCCTTGACCCACAGCTTCCTGCCTTTGTGGGCCTGCCCCAGGACCTGGATCCTGCTTCTGGCACCCTCCCCCTGGGGCTAGGGCTGGGGAGGGGGCAGTTGAACTCCTCAGAGGTTGAGTCTTCCCTCCTTCCACAGGGTGAAGCCCACGCACACGGTGGTCAACTGCTGGTTTTGCAACCAGGACACACTGGTGCCCTACGGCAACCGCAACTGCTGGGACTGCCCCCACTGCGAGCAGTACAACGGCTTCCAGGAGGTGCGGCGGGCGGGCGGCCAGGGCGGGCTGGGGCTCCCAGGAGGTGCGGGCGGGTGGGCAGGGCAGGCTGGGGCTCCCAGGAGGTGCGGGCGGGTGGGCAGGGCAGGCTGGGGCTCCCAGGAGGTGTGGGTGGCCAGGGTGGGCTGGGGCTCCCAGGAGGTGTGGGTGGCCAGGGTGGGCTGGGGCTATAGAGCTCCTACCTTGGGGTCATCCCTGGCCCACATCCCCTGTGTCCAGCCCTAAACAGACCACTTACATACACCCTATGGCTGGATTCCCACTGTGGGCTGCGGAGGAGGATTGGTGATGGGAGCTGTGGTCACTTGTCCCGGGTCTCCTCCCCACATGTGGCAGACAGTGGCACAAGCCCAGATCCGTGCAGCTCTGCAGCCTGCGGTGGTACGCATCGGCTTTTACTAGGCAGTGTGGTCTGTCCAGCCACCCACCTGCCCTACCTTGAAAGACAGGTGCAGCGGAAGGCATGTGGCTGCTTGCCAATAAAAGGCTATGAGCCAGGCAGCCCGCTCGCAAGCGCTGGCTCAGACAGTTATGAGAGAGCCCCAGGGTGCTGAGGGAGCAAGCCAGGCCCGGCCCTGCCCAGCCACAGATCAGGGGGGCTTCATTCTCAGTGGGTTCCAAGTGAGGCTGCAGCGGAAAGGCCACTATCCCGTGTAAGGATATCGGGGTGCTGTCCAGAAGGCCCCGAAAAGCCCCCTGGGAAGGAGCTGCCTGCCAACCCATCCCCATTTCTCCTAGAATGGAGACTATAACAAGCCGATCCCCGCCCAGTACATGGAGCACTTAAACCACGGGGTGAGCAGTGTGCCCAGCCCCCGAGACCCTGCGCAGCCACAGCAGTGGGTGAGCAGCCAGGTTCTGCTGTGCCGAAGGTGTAGCCACCATCAGACTACCAAAATCAAGCAGCTGGCCGCCTTCTCACCAAGGGAGGAGGTAAGTGGACATGGCAGCTAGCCAGCAGTCTGATGCCATCACCCCTGACCTCTAGCTGGCCCCACATTCCTGGATATGAGGCTTCTTCCTTCCCCGTTAGAGCTGAGGCTCCTGGTCTCCCTGGATCTTGGGTAGCTGTCTGGGTTCTGGCCTAGGAACACCATGGAAACTCCAGACTCATTGGGCCAGTAGGCTTGTCCCTGTGCCAAGGCTTTGTTGTGCACCTGTAGGGTCCATGCAGTTCTTACTGGGCTGAGCCGGAGCCCCTGCCCCCTCCAGGGGTCCAGGAGCCCTGTTACCTGCCTTCTCCCCTGCCTGCCTTACCCAGATGAGGCCCTGTGCTACTGCTCCAAACTGTAAGGACAGGAGGGATGGGTGAACTTAAGCCAAGAGGGAAAGGAGATGGGATACACACCAGGCAGCTTTTCTAGTCCAGTTGGTCCATGAGATCACACGAAGCCATTGCTGTCACTAGAGACTGAAATACTGGAGGTGCGGTGCTGCCTCTAAGTCATTCCACAAGCCAAAGAATTCTTCAGCTCCCACTCAGGCTCAAACTCCCTTAGAGTTGTTTAGATCCTGGGACCCAAGGAAAAGGGCAGGCCACGGCCCTGCACTGTCTCTCTACCTGGGTCCGGGCAGCACCAGCCAAGAGAACTTCATACAGTTTATCTGCTTGTCAGGAGCCCTGAACCAGAGCAATGGTCTTAGAGCACTGGGACTTGGTACGTGTCGCCACCTGCAAGTCCCAAGCCTGTCCTGGCCTCCTCCTCAGGGCCTTCACCACCATTCACAGTGGCAAGGGGAAGGAGCTCAGTGGGGCCTTGTAAGTGGAGTGAATCCAGGTCCCCTGTAAAACAGGGAGCTCGGGTTCCCACTGACATGGAGCCCCTGTCCTCTACCACAGGGCAAGTACGACGAGGAGATCGAGGTGTACCGCCACCACCTGGAGCAGATGTACAAGCTGTGCCGGCCGTGCCAGGCCGCAGTGGAGTACTACCTCAAGCACCAGAACCGCCAGCTGCGTGCCCTGCTGCTCAGCCACCAGTTCAGGCGCCGGGAGGCTGACCAGGCCCACATGCAGGTCTGAGGCCAGCGTCCGTGCGTGCTCGGCCAGTGTACCCGTGGGAAACTCTTCCTAGAGGGCTAGGGCGCAGTGACTAGAGAGCAGCTCTTGAGAGTTGAGACCCCCTTCTTGAGGAAACAACCCCCACCACCCAGCCTCCTTTGTACCACCAGCGAGGGCTAGTGGCCAGGACTGTGATACATTTGCAATGTATGTGAGCATAGGCTTAGGGGTCGCCCTGCTGCCCCTCAGTGGTGTTTGCCCTGTGACCAGTTTATGGGTTACTGGCACTGTGACTCCCGTGTATAGCTGAGAAACTCACGTGGGACCACACTTGGGCCCCGCCAGTGCTGGGGTTTAGATCCAGAAATGTCTGGCTAAAAGTATTTGGTTTTTTTGTTTTTGTTTTTTTGGGTCCAGTCGTGGGGTCTGAACTCTGGGCCTGGGCGCTGTCCCTCAGCTCTTCAGCTCAAGGCTAGCGC